GACCACGAGGCCGGAGGGGCGGGGGAGCCGCGGGCCGGTGCCCGAAGGTTGAACAGAAGCGCCTATCAGCTGCTCCGGGAGGTTGCGAGCGCCGAGTGGGCGGCGAGTGGCGTTTGGGCGTGTGCCGCCCGCTGCCTGGGGCTGGCTTTGCGCGCACACATTGTCCAAGCCGCCGTCACGGCAGCACCCGGGCGGAGCGGGTGCCTCGGTGTTCGGTGCCAATGCGGGGAGGGCGCTGCAAACACGGGGCTCCTCCGCCGCCGCCGAGGTGGAAAGTTCGCCACTGCATCGGACCAACAGAGCACTGACTAAGAGCAGCCAGCCTCCGTGGCGGGGGGACGCGGAGTCTCGCGAAAGCGCTTCTCTTTCCACTCACCGCGCAAACTTTGCATTTCCTCGCACGCTTCCTTTTTAAAAGAAACCCTCTAGGAAAGCGCGGTTTTGCTTTTCTGTTTTGCAAGGAAAGCCTCGGAGTCTACAGCTAGTAAGTAAACCTTCCTCCAATTCTTAATGCCGTTTTTGGGCTAGAAGCGCGTTCTCTGAAGGTTGATTCGCCTCACCTGTGTAAGTAATTCCTTAGCAGCACTCGGAGAATAGGAAAGGCGGCAACGAAGCGCCTGCGGATCTGTGAGCGTCCTCCGGTTCAGCTTTCAGCCGTTTGGGAATATTCAAGGTGCGGACTGTAGTAGCCGGAGGTCCTGCAGTGTTTCAGGCAGCGCGTCCCAGGGCAGCCGTGTACGGAGCTGCTAGTTGCAGTGCTTGGCTTTTATGAGCCAAAATGGGGGAGGAAAGGCGGGCGGCGTGTCGTAGAACGTCTCTTTCCCTGGATCTGAGCTGAAGCCGCAGCAGTTGTAACCCGAATCTCCAGAGTGGGGGGTGAAGGCCAGCCTTTCCTCCTGTCCCCGTAGGTCATCAGCATCACCCCACCACCCTCATTTCTAGGTAGGAGAGAATTGGAGGGGTATCAGTTTGGGAGGTGGCACTTCCTTCGGCCAAAGCAACGTGGGAGGCAGTCGTCGGCGTACAAGAGGGAGGACGCCGTGACTGCGTCTGTCAGGGGAACAGTCTCGTGTGCGAGAAGACAGCTATTATGGGGTGTGTCTGGCTGTCAGTCGAGGGGCGTTAGGGAGACCGTAATGAGGCTGAAGGGTGACTTGTATTCCTCCAGGCATGTGGGTTTCATTCTGAAGCTTTGGGCTCCTCCTTGTTGTTAATCGTCCACTTGTGAAATCCAAATAAGTGCGGTTCTACGCAGGGATGGCTCCACAGCTTAAGAAAGCCCTGCGCGGAGCGCTGTGTAAAGGGGCGAGGCGTGTCCAAGGATGGTGCGTGACAACACACGCTCGGGTCTCT